TCTTCTCCCTCCTGTATTTTTCTTTTTTTCTTTTCTTTTTCTCGTCTGTCAGTCTTGCCTCCTCATTGCATGGAATAGAAACCCTCCCCATGCCCTCCCCAAACCCCCCCGGTCCGCCAGCCGTGCTGTCATGTGCTGTCATATTCCTTGCCTTGTCCAGCTTCCTGAATCTTGTCTGTATGCATACCGCCTCGACCAAACAAAGTCCGGTGAAGGCTTTCTCTCTTCCTTCCCAAAGTTGCCTCTCCAGGCCTGCCCAACGTAGAAGCGCGCTCGCTATCGCCTTTGGCGGCCCCGCGCGTTCCCGCATATTGCCCCAATGAGGGCTTCAAGGGCCACCCATCGCCTGGGCTGAGAATCGAGCCACGGCTCGTCGACGGTGGCTTCTCCGGCCCGCCAGGCTAGTAGCTGGAGAAGCGCTAACTCACCAAGACTGCTTTTGCTGCTGCTTTGCCTTCTCCGTACGGAGCAAGCCCAGCTTTCCCACTTGGTGCTCCCCACGCCCGGTTCGGTGCCTTTTCCCGCGGTCGTCGTCGACTCGAGTCGGGAAAGGGAAAATCGCCCAGTTTCACCATGGGCCATCAGGGTCGTCGAGGGCGAGTCATTGCCGTAGGCGCCCAAGTCAGTCAGTGCCTTAGCAGCTGCATGTGGTCGACGCCTCGCTTCGCTTCAACGCTTGATGTGCTGTACAAAGCGCCAGCAGCACCTTACCTGGGCGAATATCACCGTAGGTACCTGATGCAACGAGCAGGTGCGGCAAAGAGTGGAATTCCACATCATAAGGCGGGTGTCATCTTGGGCGATATGGGGCCCTTCTCTGACGGTACCAGGTACCTAGGCGGTAGCATCGTCCATGTCACGTATTACGTACTGTACGAGCATGACGGTGTGCTGTCCGCCATCATCACGATCAATGCCCTGCCTGCCTTGCGTTGCCTTGTCTTGTCCTGGCCATTGATGGGTTGACCACGAGAGGCGGTTATCGTTGTACGTACCCTTGCACGTGCATGCATGGAAAAATGCAGCCCCCCAGGCCTTCGAAGGAAGGAACTTTGAAGGAAAATCGGCTGGCAGCTGTCACCGCAATTACAGCAAAATGTGCGCTGCTGGGATTGACGCCTCTCCGCTTTTCTTTTTCTTTTTTACGGTGTGGCCTTTAAGCGAGGCCTGGTAAGCGTCCGATAGGCTGCCGGGGGGCGCAGGCCATTCCCCCGTCCTATTGCCAGCACGAACAACAACGGTCATGCATGATGGCCGCCCACCAACTGGAATCTGTCGTAACGTCTAACGGTGTGTTGCAGAGACGGGACGGTTCAACGGTGCAATCACATAACGCGGCGACGACTTGAATTCTCGTCTCTCGTTTGTGGTCCATTCGGGGCACATGTGGCACTAGTTGCAGGCGCCATGCCAGCCACTGGGGGCTGTCTGCTTGCATCGTCACCGCGCTGCCATTGGATGGGTTGCGTGTTAGTGTCTCTTCTTGGAAGGACGACGAGGCTTGTAGTCTTCATGTCGGTATTGTAGATACAAGACCTGAGCTATCAAAGAGGCCAAGGTTGTGCTAGGGACATGATGCTAAAAGAGAAAGACCACAGTGATGCCGATGGCGCCTTTGCTCTTTGCCTTGTTGGAGGGGACCACTGGCCTGTACTAATGGGGCAAGAAGAAAAGAATGTCTCAAGAGGCGATGATACCCCAAGAAAGCCCAGCAACTTGGATCGGGCATTTACCCATCATATAGCCTGGGACGAGAGATGGAATCTTTGTTATCGGCGAAAAGGGCATCGTTGCAAAGGACCTGCGCCTCGTTGACAGTAGCTACCTAGGTAGGTAGGTATTGCAACATCCCATCCCATCCCATCCCATCTCATACACATCTGCTCCAAGCCTGTGATATATACCGGGTAAGCAAGCACCGGTCCAGCATGTGATGTCCTATCAGACGTGAGTCGTCAGCATCCTGCGTGCGGTGGTGTGTGATGTGACGGCCAGGCTACGTCCGCATGTGGAGGGTTTCATCCAGCTCTCTTGGTGGCCCCGACTGGGGACAGAGTAATCTTGTGCCTGCACCGTCCGTCGATGATCACACACGCGATGCAAGCATTGGCTGCCACCGTCGCTAATGTAAACGGACTTATGCCAGATGCTGGACCAGTGGCAGCGGTCCTATTGGCTGCCGCTCAATCTGAAACCCTAGCGCTGCATAACGAGTCGGGAAAGGCTTTGCATGAACAAAGTGCACGGACCCTTACGCCATGGAAACGCGGCGTTTGTACCTACGGACAACATCCATAGGTACCTTAGTATTAGGGCGACAGGGATGACGCTTTCTTGTCTCTTCTCTCACGACGTCGGCCGCCTCTTATCGATTGGTACCTACCTACTATTGACGCAAAGTCCCCATCTTCCCTGCGCAGCACCTGCAACCTTCGGACAGCGTCCATACGAGCACGCGTAACCACCTACCTAAGGTACGCATGAGAAAAGATGGCTGGCACGGTCATAAGATGGCAGAAATACGAGGCGCCAGTCATCAATACCGCATCCTGCTTTCTTCTGCTTCTCCTTCACCGACAAACTGGATTAAGCGACTGCGCCGGCAGAGCTTTCTACCTGCTACGGGAGCGCAATATGGGATGATCGCCCACGCACCATCGGACGTTTGATGTGACCAACACGTGCTGACGAAACGGGATAGCGAAGAACACCTGGGGAAGACGAACCAAACACTTTCAAGTTGCTGGCCGTTAAACCGCTCCATTCTAGCCGCAACGGGAACCCGCGTCAAACGATCAGGGCACGACCAGTCGACGGATCGTCCCAAGCGTTGGCCGAGTCGAGCCACTATCGCTCGTCCGTCTCTATCTAGAGCCTCTGGAAGCTGATGCTAACGCCCAAGAGGGAGCTAGACCCCGTGGTTTTTAGATTAGAGCAACACTTGATGGCGACGCTCCGCCCCGTACCGACATTGTGCCGATATCTGTGCCCCGACGCCAACAGCATATCGGCCGACCGAGCCATGATACTACATGTAAGGTATTATCAACACCGACCGCCAGCAGCGGGATCATGTGCGTGTCTGTGTCTGTGGATTGCATGTATGTACAAAGCACAGTGGGGGATCAGCAGATGCATGAGAAAGGTCAGACTGATGTCAGTGGTCCAATTGATGCATCCAATGGCATGTATGTACCTACTTTGCAAACTTGAGGATATTACAGCAGTACTGTAGCAGCGCTTGACCGCCAACCCGGGGCCATTTCCAGTCGCGGCATCTCCCATACCTCAAGGTACACATCACATTTGCTTGTGCAGAGGCTCCACGGAATCCATCCAGCATAGCAGCCCTCGCGTGCATAACTCGCCTTGAGTGGCCAGCGGCCCCCACCAACTGCCTCTCGCCATCAATCACCATCCATCACGGCCTCAACCCCTGCCACAAGAGACCGCCACTGCAGTAGCAGCCATGCAGGAACACGCACCAATGCGGCCACTGGAGCCAGTGTATGCAGGTACCGGCCACAGCTTTTCAGGGCTCGTTCCGCCCTGGAACATGGCCGGGATTCAGGGCCACCCCCCAGCTAGGTAGGTAGGTACCTAAGTACCTAGCAGGCCGGGGGGTGTTTTGGGGCAGAGTTGTACAAGACTTTCGGGTGTGGACATAGTGGCGCAATGAGGTTCGCGGCGCGATAATGATTGTTGGGCTAGTACATGGTGTCAGCAGGTGTGTTGTGTGCGTGTGAGTGTCGCCGCCCGAAATTGTTGCTAGTTAGCACGACTTTGCATGCACGCAGTTCTTTTCCGGTCGGCAGTAAACGGACTACCTGTTTTCTGTTAGCCGAAGAAGACGCGCAGAAGCCGCAATAGTTGTGAAACCAGCATAAGATTGCTGATTAGACAGCATCTGTGTCATAAAATCGTTGTGCAGTAATGTTCGCTGTCGACACTGTGTCGCCATTATTACCTGAGCGGCACACTGTTACAAAGCAAAACTCTGTCCAAGCGAAAAGAGTGATTACTGCTGGCATAATGTTGCCATTATTATTGAAGCGCAATTCTTCTGTGAAGAAAAAAATTATCTTGAGCAAGAACTCTGTTTGTGAAAAGGTAACATGCTAAGCCAGAAAGCTGTGTTTTCATAGTGACAGACTGCAACACAGTAAGTAGATCAAGATAATGTCAAAAGCGGCCATAATGTGCAGTACAATAGTATTGCACTATAATGTTAGACCAAGAACCCTTTTGTTCTGGCGATAATGCTGGCATGAACATCCTTATTAACATGAAAGTCTTGTGTTAGAGTTACAGTCTCGTCCTTGGCGATGGCTTCACGTCAACCTGGAGGAGCTCTTCTTGAAGGCTGTACGTATGTATAAATACCTATCTTAGACACCATGTATTGGTTATTGGCAGTTGTGCATTGTAGGCGCTGTCGCTTATACAGACAACGATCTACTTTCCAGACGACATGTGAGTACGCTCTGCGGTTGCAGAATACCACATCCATGCCGCTGCTACCTATTCTTCCCTAGGCAGTAGACGTTGTGGCATTCTATACCCCATGCCTGATCTCTGGTGTGAAATCCCTAGTATGTCTCCGTCTCAGTCTGTGGTGGTTTTATCAGTACGTTACAAGGCATGCTATAATGTAGGCGCCAGGTTTGAGAAGCAATGTGAAATTGAAATTGTTCAACTGTGGTTACAGTCGTAGTAAAGATAACCTCCTACCCTCTTGTAAACCTTGACTGCTCCTTTTTGTAACCTCATTGTGAAAACCCAGCATCTGAATACCGTAAGAGCCCATGCCTATATGTAAAGACCAACCTGTGTTAATGCGTAAACGATAATTCTCATGCCTGGTCCCATAGATGCCGTAAGTTCGATTCCAATTTCACGCCATGCGCCTGTCCTTGATTGCTCTGCATACTATGCCATGTCAGCCTCATGGTCCTCAAGCATAATAGTGCCAGGATAAACTTGCCTGTCTTATGGGGTGTCTACTGATATGTGTCGCAGCTCCCCCTCTGTGCCATGACCTGGGCTACCGCGGTATCCATGTCTTCACAGCCATCCAACATCAATTGTCGCGCCTTTGAGTATTCGGCCATGGTTGGCTGAGGTTTCTTGGGTTCATCCGCAGTCGTAAAGAATTCGAAGCTCATTCCAAGTGCATCTCCAGGCGCGTTAAAAGCTGCGACAGCCTGCTTCTCGATCGTCTTCTGCTTTGTATTATTGGCATTGTTGGTCCTCTGCTTCTTACCGGAAGTCGTCGAAGTAAACTCGTGTAGAGCTCGTTTGGCTAGAGATAATAATATAAGTTAGCATTGCATATGTACGAGAAGCATGTCAACCCTCACCTGGATAATAATTGCCATCCTCCTTGCCAGCATTGCCATCCTCCTTGTCGTTAACATCCTCGCCAGTGGTGCCATCCTCTCCACCATTGCCATCATCATTATCAGCGTTGCCATTCTCCTTATCGGCGCCGTTTTCGCCAGATCCGGCTTCACCAGCTCCATCACTGCCAGGTTCATCATCGCTGGCCTCATTATCACTAGCCTCGTCATTCATCTCCTCATCCTCTGTAGATTCACTCTCAGAGATGTTCTGCTGTTTCTTCATCCGCTTCTCATGCTTACGCCTGGAGGCGCGCATCGCCTTTCGAGCCATTTGCAGTCCTGGCGCCGCCTTCTCCTCCTCATATTCGCCTTGCTCATTCTCCGTAGGTCGACGGAACATGAGGAACTTTTTCACCTTAGGGACTGATCCATCAGTCGGGAGGTGCACCTGGAGCGGCTGACCAGGTTTCACAACAAACTTGGACGCAGATCGGCGGATGAGGTTTGCCATCTGCGGATGAGCGCCAGCAAACTTCTTCCAGTTCTTCGGCAGCTTGTCCTCGTGGCAGCCCTCGACTGCCATGAGCGCGCCAACAAATTGGGCAACATCTGGTCCGTTATCTGGGTCGGCGATGCCGGCTTTGCAAGCATCGTTCAGAACGCGGTACCAATAATCATCCCTGCAGACAAATCCCGATCCAGTCGCCTTGGCTTTTCCCTTTGCTCGTCTGGTCGGCGCCATCTGTGAAGAACCGGTGAGCTATTGCTGTTAACGCGAGGCGCTGCACTTGAGTTTGGACAGACCTTGGTAGCCTTGCGAGTGCTCTTTAAGGAAGAGACAGGTTGGAGATGGAAAGTTGAGAGTTGACGCGTGTAGGAACAGCAGGTTAATAGCAGCAGAGTGAGGTGATCTTGAAATAGAAGAGATGTGGCGATGGATGATGGAAGAAGAAGAAGATGAGGAGGGAGATGTGGAAATCTAGAGCAAGATGTAAGGAAAGAGAGCGAGAGTGAGTGCAGAAGTGGGGAGGAGAGTGAAAAGGAAGAAGCGGGCAGAAGAAGTCACTCCAGCCTTAGCCAACACCAGCCGCCAGTGGCAGAGTTTCTCTGCTCACAGCTTGCCATTAACCAGAGCATTGCCTAACAATTCTCTAGTCTAAACGTGAATTCTTCATGCTTTAGTAATTTACTACAACCTATAGCCATTATACTTATTATTCTAATCAGCAGGTTCATTACCAATGTGAAACTCTACAGACAACCTGAAAGTGAATAACTTGGAACTTATCATATTATAAAGTCACTGCCTATAGCAGGACAGACAGAATGTAATAAACTAACATCACATAAGGTAACCTCATAAAACATGCCTTCGTAAAGTAATGCCCATTAAGAGCGAAGTGAAACCTGAGTTCTGTAAGAACTGTACCCCAGTGCCGCCCATAGAAACAACCATCATGCCATTAACTAGAACATTGCCACCATTACGCATTATATCAAGCAGATCAAGCGTGAAAAGAAGAAAGCCTCCCATACTGTGTCCCATTCTGTAAACATGTGGCCTGTTAAAATATGTCGAAGAAATGCAGATACTAGGTATTCAAGTGTCAGTAGCGAGCATGTCAGTAATGCAGGCCAGGCCACACTTACCAGACCCATGATGCGGCAAACCTCAATGTGAAAATTAAACTCCATACCGCCATAAACCCAATCCGGTTGGATAGTCACGATGCATTAGTGACAGCGGAACCATTCTGGACCTAGAAATCGTCTGGCATATACATGTCGTCGATGATCTCTTTGTCGCTATCACCGGAGTTGTCACCGGCCACCTTTGCTGGTTCTTTTGCTGCCGTGTAGATGTATTTGACATCTCCGATATTTGGGCGTAAGGCGTCGTACTTCTCATTGACGCCGTACAGATTCCATCGTCTCCTCGTCATCCTCTCGCAATACTTCGGGTCAGGCTTGAGCTTGTACTCAGGGAACTTGTGGCCGTGGGCGTAGTTCCATTCCATTTTGAGATTGCCGCCCATGTCAAGAAAGATTACTGTATATAGGATAGGTTGTCAGTTGTCTGACGCGTGGCTTTCACATGGCAGGTAGAGAACATACCCTTGCACCACCGCTCAACACGCTTGTCCGATGCCCTGAAGTCAATGGTGTCTTTGGCGAACTTGAAAATGGAAAGGAACGTGTCCAGCGACCATTGAGCCCTGAGTAACATGTGGATGGTCCTGATGTCACTGCACTGGCCGAACACCTTGTCAGTCGCGGCCAGGTCTGCAATGTACTTCTGGTTTGTATGTTAGTGGCCTGTTGTGAAACAGTCGAGTGGTATTAGGAAGGGGTTCTCACTCGGAACTCCTTAAGAGTCCTGCACTTCCACGAGCTGAAGCTGCCATTTGCCCTATATGACGCCTGAATATATGCGTTTTGTTGGTCTTGACCTTTTAGATCCTTGAAGAAGTACTTCATGATCACGTTAAGGCGGATCTTGCTGAGGTCACAGATATACAGGAGTCGAATCTGCACCGCAATGAACATGTTCACTTCGACCTTCGCCGCTGTTGAGAGCGGGAGATCGCCCACTGCAACACCCCGTGCCTTTCGAGGAATTTGGAGGACAGCTTTCGCGCCGTTGGCGTCCCCTTTGAGCTCGTTCTGGCGTGAAATGTTAGCAACTTTTTACGCCTACATCGGTAGGTAAAACATGACTTACGCTTGCCCTTAAATACCATGCCGCCAGCGACTCCTCCTTATCAACCTCAAGCGCAAGGATTGCTGTCTCACTAGACTCAGAATCACTGTCGTTGAAGGTGAGATCCTCATCACTGTTACTCCCATTCCTCAGCGATGGATGGATTGATTGAACAGGCGTCTGGCTCTGGCTGGTTGTAGTGGTTTGGCCCTGCCTCTGGCCCTGCTCCTGACTGTCTTGGATCTCGACCACACTCTGTGTGCCATGGACGTGAGCATATTGAGTGGGTTCCGGATAGTTCTGGGGCGTGGAATCGGCGATGCGTTGCAGGTGGGTCTCTCGGGTGTAACCCGTGTCCATCGTTGGCTGGAATGACGAGCCTTGGGTGCCCTGGCTCTGAGTTGGGTCCTGTGAACCAATGGTTGCCCGCGGCATGGTGAGAACGTCCAGTGTAAGTCGCCTTTGATGTTTGGGATGTGATGTGAGGATGTGAAACAGAAGGCTGGCTGCAAAGGCAGCAGGGATGACAGACAGGGAGAATCCTTGGAGCTTGAGGAAGAAAAGGAAATGTGGAAATGATGGCGTCAGACTTTCTGGTCGTGAAATTGTGGGTCACGTGACTGCGCGTAACAGGTTTTTCGCGTTACCCTGCTTAATAATATCATACGCGTGCTTCACTACCCGGGATTTTGACGTAAGTAAAATCATTAATGATGGTATAATAGCAGCACCTAAAGTAATAAAATAAACGTTCAGTCGGTAACATAGTTTTGTAGTTTATTTGATTAATTTTTTCTGTATTTTTTTATATCAGGAAACGCTATGGTTCTTGTAGAATGGTGATGTGCATGTGCGCGTCAAGAACCGTGAATCTGGCTGGAGAAGTGATATCGATAAGCGTGCATCTTCTCAGACAGTTTTGGTCCTCATGCGTCCTCAGACATCTCAGAACTTGCATCAACGCCTGCATCAACACCTTCATCAACATTCTCTATTAACGCTCATCAATAAGCGCGCAATTCTTTCATCACATCGTTTGCCAAGACTTTCCCATCTAAAGATTTGTTGCCAGAATGCCTCGGAAAGCTCGAGCCGTGTACAATCCCAAGTATGACGACGTGGCCCAGTTCATGGACAAGAAACGCCAGCAAGATCGGCTTCAGAAAGCACAATCAGCAGAGTCACAGCCATTAACTCAGAAGGCCATATCCCAAGTTCCACTTCTGGGCGAAGAATTCAGCTCCAGATGGCTAGACGAGACTGGACAAGAGCTCGACACTCCAATGTCCGACGAGCTGCCCGACGATGGAGGGGAACTGCTGGATCTTCACGATGACAACGACAAGCCACACTTGCACACTGATGGAGAGAAGGCATTAGACATGATAAATCAGATTCTTAACCGGGTACGGTTTGATGATGGTACCATGGTCGATGTCAATTCTGCCCAGAGTGAAATGGCAGACGACCTGGAGCAGCCAGCACCTGAAGACGTCAACTCGGTTATCGACGTCATGCCGCCCGCCGTTAATTTTTATCCCGATAATACCGCTGGATTTGATGACGAGGACGACGATGACTCTGAAGCCGACATCGCCGCGACAGTGACTATGGGATCATGTCAACTTAGCATTTCGACAGAGACACTCACTGGCACAGCGGTGTCACAAGACAATATAGAGGCCGCCAACACCGAATCACGGACCATCGACGCAGATGAGACGCTGTTGCTAGACAATTCACCCTTGCCAGACAATTCAGCATTGCCTGGTCATTTGCCAGATGCGAACATCCCAGCAATGCCAGCCAGCTCGCCCATGCCAACGAACGCGCGTCCCCGAGGCGTCGTTAACGATACGACCACGCTACTACACCATACTCCAAAGCCGATCAACATGTCAGAGTTTGCATTTGCCTTCACCTTATGGGTAGATCATAACAATGTCACACGCCAGGCTTATCGAGAGCTGATCGAAATTTTCAAGTTGGCAAAAAGTCTCCAGGATCTACAAGAGCTGTCCACTCGCAAGGAAACGATGCGCAAAAAACTCTACAACAGTCTACCGTTAGTCGCATTGCGCACAAAGACACTCGACCTCGACAAGACACTCCTGCCATCCCGTGCACAGATTCGTGAGGACCTGTTGGCTTTTGACCTCAAGTCTGTACTGCAGGCGTTTCTAAGCTCTGACGAGAACATGAGGCTTATTCATCGAGGACTGGCGCACCGCATTGATACGCCGGTGATGGAACCTTGGGAGGCAAGATGGTGGGGGGAGTCGATCCGAACGACGTCTGGCCACTGCGCCTACGACAGCAACAACGAACCTCTATGGCCCTCCGACTTTATCCGTTATATTTGCAGGGAGCCTGGCTGCAAGTGCGACGAGCCTGGTCATATGGGCCGGATTACTTATGTTGGTCGGGATTTCACGTCTAAGGCAGTCACGAAAGGAGAGATTGTCATTGAGGTCCAAGAGGTCTATACAACCTCCACGCTGCCGCAGTTTATGCACGACTGCAGCTGGCAGGCCAGATGTTCACTACCATCAGATGGATGCGTGGAGCTTGTGGTCGTCGGGGACTGTCGAAAGTACATCAACTGCAACGAAGTGCACAGCCGACTCCCTCACGTTCACATGGACTACAGATTTGACCCAAGCCTGTCGCCAGAGCCACTTGTAGCGCCATACACAGTCCGATACTTCTTCCATAACGGTAAGAAGAAGTTCTATCCCACACGTCTTACAACTGCCTTGCGAGGTGAAATGGAGATAATGGTCTTTGGGAGAGAGTACCTGCTCGAGCACTTTACCAACCCTGAGATTATATCCTTACCAATGTTCCTATTTTCTGATGCATTTGGCCTCTTCCGCAACATGTATCGGTCGCTTCTAGGCCTATACCTAATCCCCCAATTTCTCCCCCGCGACCTACGGACACGGCGAAGCAACCTTCTACCATTGACCCTTGGGCCATTTGGTGCAGACGATGCTGATGTTTTTGAATGTCTTATGCACACCTGCGAACTAGATTCAGGTGTTGAGATAGACATTCAAGGCAAGAAGGTGTTCGTTTGCTCATTTGTCGGCGCAATACTCGGGGATATGCCATCACAGCAGAAATTAGCAGGGTGCCGCACACATTCAGCGCTCAGGCCCTGTCGATATTGTCTCATATTCTTCGACGATCGAAACCAACTTGATTATAATATACTCGAGTCTGGCAGATATGGCGAACAGCTACTTCTTGACACAGCAAGAATCCGAGAAGATCCAAGAGTCACATATCAAGAGAGTATGGCAAAGGAGCTGGGTATGAGCGTAAAATGGCGACTGATGGATACTCTTGGTATGTCGCTTGCTTGATACGTCTACCTACTTAAATACCGAAAAGCAGCCCTCCCCCCGGTAGTATACTGACATTTCCATTCTAGACACGCTGTTTCCTGCGATCGATCGGATTCGGGGCCGCCCTATTGACGCCGCACATTCAGAATATCAGGGACTTGCTAAAGTCCTTTTATCACTCATTTTCAACAACATTCTAACTGGGCCTGGATCTGACAAAATGAATGAGGTATATCGAACGATTTCCCTTCCTCCAGGATGGCGGAGACTCCAGTCTCCTAAGAAGCATCTTGATTCTTGGAGAATGCAGGAGCTTGCCAGGGGCGCAATCTTATTGCCTATCATCCTACGCCGCTGGCTTAAAGCAGAACACATCAAGCCAGAGCTTCAACATACACTGGTATACCATGCGAACACCCACTTTACCATGTCTGACTTCCGGGATACTCATAAGTTTACCTCGGTTGAGTGGTTAACCGCAGCAGCCTGGGTTTTTGCAAAATCTCTTCTCCGTCTCTGCGCTCCCTATACTCCTGGCAAACGTGAAGTTACTGAGACTGCAGTTCGTGATGGTCGAAGGGCAATTCAGTTTCTCTGCTATGCCTGTGCACTTGCAGCAAAGATGAAAGGTGGCAGCGATGACTCGGAACTCCCAGCTTCTACTGAAACTCGAGTACCGCAGGGTGAAACTGGAGCAGACACGCGTCCTATCACTACCATGGAGCCGCCACCCGCCAGAGCGCCGTCCATGGGGCCGCCAGCCAGCAAAGCACCAGCCAGAAGAGCGCCAGCCAGCAAAGCGCCGTCCAGGAAAGCTCCCTCAAGCAGAGCGTCGGCCAGCAGAGCGCCAGCCAGCAAAGCACAATCCAGCAAAGCGCAGTCCAGCAAAGCGCCATCTGTCACACCATCTGGTACCAAGAAGCCTAAGGTGAGGACTAAGGGCAGCGAATTTGAAGACAAGGCCAAGCTTCCCAACATCCACACTGGTCTACATCACGCTGAAGTTGCCGACGAGTATGGAGGCTGCCGAATGGTGACCACGCTCCAAGGCGAAGACAAGCACAAGTAAGTTCGCTTGCTAATAGGCATAGAGATAATGCATAAGGTCATATGCTTACAATTTATCCTCCTTAGGGAATATAAAGCCGATATCCTCTCAACGAATTTTCGAAACGCTGCCGCCACTCTGATACGACGAGAGCGTGTCCGTCTCACAGTATCGCTGCTTTTCGAGAACTGCTTTCCAGACCATCCTGAGGTGCAGAATCTTTTCTTGATGCTGAGAGAGAGATGCCCAACACTTGCCAAGAGCATGAACTCTACAGCTAGAGATGAGTTAGAGATCGAGGAGGAGAACGAAACGAGATTAGACCTACGAGGAGATGACGACCATCGGAAACCTCACGCGTTGAGATATATAGCGCCAAATAACCTTCCCAGCACTAGCGAGTTTGACTTCTTAACGATCAAGAAGCTCAAAAACCTGCCAAACGACCATGAATTCTTAACGCAACTGCAGGAGGCCTATCGCAACGACTACCATGATACAGCCATGATCTACCGCATACAAGACACCAAGATCCAGTGGTCTGAGAAAGTGGCTTTCACGCCAAGGTTTGATCACCCAAATCACTAGCCATGATCACCCATGCTAACATTCTGCAGCAACGGGAATCGAGTTTGTTTCACAGTAGGCGACTTCATCCGCCTCAGCCAGTCCAACAACACAGTTCAGTATGCCAAACTCCTCGGTATCTTCTCGCATAGGCGCCATAGCACAAGCCACCTGTTTGCAGTGGTGGATCTTGTGTCAAAGAGGACAGAGGGTGAAACTAAAGAGCTTGTTCTTGAGTGCCCGATCTTTGAGTTAGACCACAAGCAAGTGATTGTTGGTCTACCACAGATTCAGGGCACCAAGGTCTGGATGGTAGAGCGTGATGACAAGAGTGTCTTATTCATTGACTATGACATTTATTTTATGTAACGATTGGCGGGATTTTCACGCCGAGGCTGTTGCTGTCTAAATGCAGAACCAGCAAGTATACTATATCTACCATAGGACCAGCCCCTGAGATACCATACAATCTAGCTAGATTACATTTTCACATGAAGAGCAAGCAATTGAAAGCCCTCGCCCATGGCGTCAAAGGCTGCATAGTAAATGTCTGTCTTAGTAAAGGTTCGCTAAGGTGCTGGCCGGCTGTGCACGATCCAGTAAAGCAGGAGGAGCCAGAGCACCCAGGCACCTGCCATAACACTCCAGCCCCATTCACCCCAGGCCCCATTCACTGCTCTGATACTGCCATTCCCCCATCAGAAATTTCTCTCCAGCTTCAGGCCTCTTCCATCTTCATCTCTCCCAGCTGCCTCATCATCCATCGTCCCCTTCCATCATCTCCAACCGTCTACTATATCCAGCGCCTGCGTCCATCGCCTCTGCACTCATCACCGTCTGCACTCTGCAGTAACACCATAAAGACGACACACGCTGTCTCCTGTGCATCCTGCACCTGATACGCGCCCGCGAGCCCGCGTCGCGTGCTTGTGGTCAGACGGTGAGCTTCTGCCACATCACCCATCGCGACATCATAACGCGTCCAACCCTAGATATCTTGACACTCTTTCCACGCAGTTGCCGTCTTCCTCATAGCATGCCATCCACTCCTCTCGTGTCTAATGTGAAAGGCAAGTGTCCAATACCTCTGTTCTCACCGATGTCTCTGTGACTTCAAACTGCTGATGCAAGTTCTCACGTCCACAGAAAACTGGACGTCCATGGCATATTCACCCTTATGTCTCCTGCACCTCACGCCATTCCCTCAGCTCTGGTGGCCCAGTCACTGGCAGCTGCAACGCGATAGTGAATGGTGCGGACGGACTGGACGATAGTATATGTACCACCTGTTTCTCCCTTCCCCCGTTTTCCCTTCTGCACGGAGCTTCTGCTAATGTCTATCTGCACAGTCCACTCTGGCTCTCCTGGCAGCGTCCACCTCGGCCAGGCTGGTTGCCAGATTGCTGGGAGCACTGCCTCGAGCACGGTATCCAGCCTGTCTCTTCTGGCCGAAGGATTTCACTCCCGCGTCCACCACGCGTGAGGTTATCAGCATCAACCTCGGCCAGGCTGGTTGCCAGATTGCGGGAGCACCGTCTCAAGTACGTACACAGCCTGGTATGCCATCGTCCATCCTGCCCTGATGATTTCACACCCACACTCACTCTGCGTGAGGTTATCAGCACCAACATCGGCCAGGCTGGTTGCCAACTCCTGTTGGGAGCACTGCCTCGAGCACGGCATCCAGCCCGATGGTTACCTCACTGAGGAGCGCAAGGCTCAGGACCCCGACCAGGGTTTCAGCACCTTCTTCTCCGAGACTGGTACGTTGCGTCCTGTCACGTTTCCCGTCGACCACTGTGTGAAGAAGGCGTCGCCTCTAACCATCTGCACAACAAACAGGCCAGGGCAAGTATGTCCCCCGCGCCATCTACTACGACTTGGAGCCTAATGTCGTCGACGAGGTCTGGACCGGTCCTTACCGCAATCTGTTTCACCCGGAGATGATGATCACCGGCAAAGAGGATGCCTCCAACAACTACGCCCGTGGCCACTACACCGTCGGCAAGGAGGATGCCTCCAACAACTACCTACGCCCGTGGCCACTACACCGTCGGCAAGGAGCTGATTGAGGGCGTGCTCGACAAGATCTGCCGTGTTGCCGACAACTGCGTCGATCTCCAAGGGCTTCCTCGTCTTCCACTCTTTCGATGATGGTACCCTCCCTGACAGAGCGCGTGTCCGTCGACTACGGCAAGAAGAACAAGCTCGAGTTCAAAGCGCGTTTCACACCGTTGCTCTCGGAAGTAGAGAATGCGTCACACTTCATCACCAGCGTATGGCAAGTGCCATTCTCCCTCCCAGCACCTGTCAATGTGTCTAATCCGTTCCCATCAGATTGCATACCATTATCGCACATACAGCCGTCCACAGAGGTCAGATGCACATATAAGTCACTTTTTCACTATCTACGCAACACAACTAACAATTTGATGTATATTTTAGATGCATTAGAACGATTTTTTTACACATCGATTTTTCCCAACACCAGAGAATCCAATATCGTGTTTCACATCCGGCCTCAAGTAAGCAAAATCTTCCAGTCCTTTTCTTCACATTGTTTGCAGGTGCGTTATCTAAAAAATACACAAGTAAAACATTATTTATCACGGCGGTTCTTTTTATGCTGATTTCATCTACAGATTCCAGAATTTTTATCAGTCCGTTTCTCAACACCAAGAATCACCAACAACAACTCGATCTCAAGCTTCACGGGATACATCAAGATACCTGCAGTACATCTCCTTTCTCTAGTATGTCCACCCCCGCCCGCTAGAAAAACTTTGACATCCAGCTGACTTGATGGTGCCATCATACAGAAGACGATCGAATTCCATCGGCGCAACACCAACGCCTCCATGACGCGGCCATCGGCAGATGCCACAAGCGAGATTGAACTGAGTACATCGCGGAGGGTCATCATGACACTGCTTGGAGATGGTTCACATGCAGCATGAGAGTGGTGGTCGCCGGCAATGGTAGCGCGGAGCAGGAATCATGTATCTCATCGCCAGCATGATAATCTTGGACAAGCATGTCGGCGCGCAGTAAGAGTGTCATGGACAGCATCGTGACAGCAGAGTGTCTATTATAGCCAGCAGCAACGAATGCATGATCGTCACTATTGCGAAAAGTCATACAGTGTCCAGGCGAACTTCATTTCTGCACAAAAAAAATTTCCCACAGCAACAGAATTGCTTGGATGACATTATGTCAGTGCTAAACATGATTTTCACATACAGCATAATTATTTTTCACACAGCACAATAATTTCCAGCTCTAACAATTATTACCAGCGTAAAAGTACTTTCTGTCCTAACATCATTTTCACATCGAACACCATGTCTGCTTACCAGCATAATGGCGCGTAGGCAAGGTAGCCGCACTTAGAATACTTACGCACCGACAACGATTTTACTCAGAACACGCTGTCTTCACAGAACAGAATTTCACCCGCGACAGTGTGTTGCAGTGCTTTCACGCTGCGACTGGCAGCACACGATGTGACTGGCAGCATACTTCTACTGCGCAAGACAGTTGCGCGACAGCCAGAAATTTGACGCCGCGAATTCTGGAAATCCGCACACGATTTTAGCTTGGAATTCTGCCTTTAGATCACCCCTATGCTGCCACTATTTCCACACCCGAAATCCTTGGAACAGGCCTGTTATAAAACGCCCCCGGCGCCCGAAGGTAGCTGCTTGACGACGGGCAGGCAGGTAGCTGCCACATCGCCCTCGCATCCAACAGCAGCCGCAGTCCACCACAATCAAAAGGTTCTGGCGGTATAGAGTACCTGACATGGGCCGCGGGCGTGCTACTAGTAGTAGCAGTTGGGCTACTGGGCACTTGTGCATGCACGCTGCATCACCCTCGACCCCCGGCCTCTCACCCAAGCCAAATCCAATGGAACCAAAGCCATCCAAGCCAACGAGCGAGTCTTCTCCAGCAGCCTCTCCACCCACCATCATCGGCCAAGAAACTTGGTCAGCTCATCGCCTTGCCCTCTACAGCAACAGCTCCAGAGACGCCGCTGCTGCAGCCAGGCAATCAGGCAAGCACCCGACCTCCGCAAAGCTCGAGCTCCAGAGCTAATACATAGCCTAATTGGCAGAATAACGCCCCGGGAAGGCAGGCAATCAGGCAAGGCAGGGTGATTCCGCAAGGTGGTGATGCACCAGTGCCTGCACGACGCTCCCACTCTGCAAAAAGCTGGCCCACCGAAGCTCGTCTGTTGCTCTGGCCGGCCACCGACTGTTTGTGTGCCCTCGAGAGCCTTGTCCGTCTCCTTCCTTCCGGCCGCGTTCAACTCCATACCAATACCGCTTGTCCATACCGCCGTGCGCTCAGTTGACAGCCCGACACCGCCAGTATCCAGGATGGCGGTGCTTGACAGGCCGAGCGGGAAAAAGCTTCTTTTGCCTCCCTCGCCAAACGAGCTCGCGGAACCGGCAGCGGCCACCGCCTGAGAGAGGATTTCGGCAGCACCCTTGCTAGCCGGGGCGAGGGCTTTCTGGCATCTGCAACCGATAGATCGCACTACTCAGCACACGGGCTCGAGGCAGCCCAGATGAAGAGCCAGGTTGCCAGGGTGTGTGCCAGCGCAACTGCTGCACATCCTGCTGGCAGGCCGTCTTCCTTGACTCGAACAGCGACCCTGGCGACCTGTGGCGCTGGTCACTGGGTTTTCGGATGCCTGCAACAGCGTGCCCCGGACTCGAGCGAGAGCCCACGGCTTCCTGTAGATGTTCTAAACGGACATGGGGGGGCGTCGCCTGCCAGAGACAACGGTGAAGAGCTGCGGCTGCCGGTAGCAATCGTGAGCCTCAACGGTCCGGTGGTCAACCTCGTTAACGACAGCCGAGTTGTCGCCACCAATACTCTGGTTCGACCGCTTCCACGGTCTTCACGGCAATCAGGTATTGACGGCTGAATACGAAGTGCTTGGGTGATTCCAGCCAATGTCTGCCCACTAATAACCTCATGTCGAGGTAGTTTGGGGAGACGCAGCCTCTCTGCACGTTATATCCCGACTACGCTGCATTGCTCGTTTGCCATTGCTCGTTGCCACATTCGCAAAAACTGTCCGACAACCCCTCAGAAACATGCTCTTTTGCGTTGAGCCAACGACGCAAGAGGCAACAGGCACATGATACACATAGCACTGGTACTATACGAAGATCCCAGCCTTGACAGGAGGAGAGGCGGCAGCCATGGCCTACAGCACTGACATGGTCGGTGAATCGAGATAACTTTGCGGTAAGGCATCCATGCGCTCCATCAGTCTCCAAACCACGGACCGTTGCATGCGAATCTGCTTCGGAGCAACTGGGCTCTCCCATATCGACAACGGAGGTCGGAGTTGGCAGCCGCAGATGCACTCCATTTCGACAGAGGCAGACAGAGAGACTGAAGCCGTTTTGCCACCGCCTTTTACACCGTCGAATTTCTTCAAGGGACGATGTCAAGTGACTTTGACGGATGCGGACGAGTCAGGACCTAATCTCACAGATCAGAGCGACCAGGGCCCTGGCGAGCAGACCTCTGCACAATGCGCAAGGACTAGCAACGGCCCGGATTCGCAGCCGTGTGGCCAGCATCTCGCTTTGATACCATAGAGGCCTGGCGGACCGGGATTGCTTGGCCCTTGCCACCGGACCCTAGCGGTCTACCCGCTCCCCGGATTTCTGCTTGGCGGCCAATTTGTCTCGAGGTCCACCGGGTAGAACAACGCCAGTCTTCTCTCATTCTTCGGTTTCCCCTCTTCGAAGTCGACGACGATGGGGCACAGAACGGCGGCTGGTGATTGGCACGAAAGTGTCCAATGTTCTGCAAAATGACGAGCAAACAGTACCGGTACGAGTACTACTACTATGCAACATTCTTTGCAGTCGCCTAACGCAGGTTTCACGGATCATCACCGTCATCTTCATGAGAATGGCATCGCCCTCTTATCGGTTGGCCTATACACTATGCACTTGCCCTTCTGCGTTGGGCTATTTGATTCATGGCCTTTGCCAATCCGTTTCGCCACTGGCGATATGTTTCAGCATGCTTCATCTTGACAGACCGCATTGCTGCGTTCCTCACAGGCATATCAACTCTTCATGCCGGCCCTGCGGATCCATCTCCTGGGCGGGAAAAGGGCTCAATGCTTCGGTTGTTCGCTGCCTATGGCCGACCCGCTACCAGGCCCATGGTACATTCGCTGTGCCATGTTAAGAGCCCAGTGGGGAGGCATTCGCTGGCAAAAGCTAGCCAGGGCATCCCCATGCCTAGCGCAGGTACGACTTATCATCCATGAAGGTCTTGGGCAGGGCCAATTGGGCATTCCGCAACCCAAGCCCATGGAGCTTCTGGAAGGTTTCATGGCCCACCACTCGAGCTTCCATTCTGCCAGTGTTTCCAGGTTTCTGACCTTGCAATGCCAGGCCCTTGACGCTTGGAACCGAAGGTCCCGCGAGGTGGTGCTTGTACAAGTATGTACAGACAGCGGTAGTATGGCGTATCCATTTCTGTACCCAGTCCCGGCCTCATTCTCGCGCCTGCTTCGTCGGCGATTCCAGAAAAGCGCAGGCAGGGTTCTGCTGCTGCAATGGCGGCGAGGAAGCCAGCCTGTTGGCGACTCCAGTTCAACGGGCCATGCCGCGGCAATGAAATGGCGCCAGATAGGACAGCCGCTATCGGTGTGTACTTGGGCGGCCACTCGCGGGTACGAGGTGGTGCTCGTGGTTGGTAGGTATTCGCTGGCACAGGCGCCCCGTTCCTCTGCCGGCAGTCGTTCGATGTTACCCTGTCGACGCTCGGTAGTACATGCGCAGAGTCTCAACACCTCTCGCGGTGTCATACACCGCAGCCACGGAGTACTCCGTGCCGTCGGTGGGTAACACGGCGGGCGCGACTGCTGCGTACAACTACGGAACTCGAACATGCTTACCACGATCTTCATGGCGTGCGAGCATCTACACACTCTACCAGTAGCTCGAGCACTAGGAACACGATCACGGTTGGGGCCGCCGGCTGCAAAGAGCGGGATGCGGTCTGTGAGCGAGCGGCAAATTGGGGAGTGAGGACGGGATCAGGCAGGAGTGTTTATGCACGGGCGATCGAAGGCTCAGGCTGTTGCCACGGATTGGGGGTGGCGGTTTGCTGAACTGAATACGCATGCTAACGCTATGTCCTGCCCGGGCATTACATACAGTACTGACCGAGTAGG